ATTCCTGATTCTTGATATTTTCAATGCTTACATTACAAACAATTTTCAATTATTCAATTAACTCTCCAATAAAATAAAAAAAATTAAAATAAAAAATAATAAATTACTGGCCCGTGAACACAATTTTTACATTTTTCGCGAGTGTTCCCGGAAAGATTCGATGCACTCGCATTTTTATAAATTGAAAATTTTTTTTTTAATAATTATTGAATTTTTTGACAAAAATAGAACCGTTGAAAAAAAAACGTTCCGAGGGACCAGTAAATCCCGACGTTTCAGTTGATTCGCAATCGTTTGAGTATATATTCACGAGACATTTTTTCCGCAATTTGTTAAACAATTTTTCGAATTTACAAAAGTGAATTCATTTTGTTCATTCCGTTCATCGATGGTTTCTTTATCATACCCCCACTCCGCTCGATATGGGATGTTTTCTTTCGTCACGATTTCCTCGAATTATCGACACTCGCGTTTGCTGGTCTTTCCGAATTATCGACACTCTCCGGCTCGCGCTCTGCCTTATCTATACCCACGCCCTCCGAAAATTACCGACACTCTTGCCCTCGCGACCTGTTTGATTCACAAGCCTCGCCATTGGCGTTAGCAATCTCCCCTATAATCTTTCATAGCGGTGGCGCGTGAACTAATCAATGGAATCAGCTGTTTAGGCGGCCGCCATGACATGGGGTTGTCTTTAAATCAAGACAAGACAAGACAAGACAAGACAAGAAAAAAATAATATAAAATAGGATGCTAGTAATATCTCAGATTACTGGGACCACAGTAAAGACTGGTAATTATTTTTGCGATAATATATGAACATTAAGGCCTTGTAATTAATATTGATTACTTTATTACACAGAACTGCTTACGAACAGCTAGCAGAGATTGTATAAATAAAAAGAATTATGGAGCAATTCCATGATATAAATAATGCCTGCAGAGCGTGTTTAAGTGTGGGTAAAGCGAATGAACCAATTTTTCGAGGTGAAAATGAAGGAATAAAGGAGGGAGCAATTGAATATTGGAGGATATTGAAGATCCATGGAGGCATTGAGGTCAGTGAATGAAAAAAATGGTGATAAAACATTTACTGATTTCTGTTATTTCTGATATCCAGGTGTCTGAAACCGATGGATTTCCTCAAAGAATTTGTTCCAAGTGCCTTCTGAAACTACACGTAGCTCATAGTCTGTGGGAACAGTGTCAGAAGGCTGATCAGAAGCTCAGGGAATACCTTAGTAGCTCTCTGAATAAAAAAGTACACGCTGAATCTCCTCTCTGCACTGATAAGCAACCGAAGTCTTTCACAGCAGAAGCACCCGAAAATTCTTCTATTAAACTTGGAAATATTCCTCCATCTGCGGAGCCTTCCGCGAAAAAATCTCCACATGTATCTAAAAAACCTCAGTATGTCTCTCCCTCTCCTGTTTCAGAACCTCTGGAACCTCTCCAGCCCTCTCCACGAAAACAGCACAAGTGCTCGGACTGTAGCAAAATATTTCCCACGGAATTGAAACTCCAGAGGCACCAGAGGACCCACGAGGAGAAGAATGTCCCTAAGAAGTCTGATTTCAAGAGATTCCTCTGTCACATCTGCAGCAAGACATTCAGGCAGAAGACAGGGCTAACGTTCCATATGAGAACACACACTGGGGACAAGCCCTACGTCTGCAATTTCTGCAATCGAGGATTCGCGTCCAGGTCCAACTGCATTAACCATGAGAGAACCCACACGGGCGTGAGGCCCTTCGTGTGTCATTTCTGTTCTGCTGCATTCGCTAAGTCCTGCACTCTTAAAGCGCACATCACGACGCACACTGGTGAAGCTAATTACCACTGTAAAACCTGTGGCAAGAGCTTCAAGAGACTCAAGTACCTCAAAGAGCACCGGTTCACTCATACTGGAGAAAAACCGTATGTTTGTAAAACCTGTGGAACCGGGTACAGTCACTCTGGGAGTCTCTTTGTTCATGAGAAAAAATGCAAGATTCAAGTCCGAAATTATCACTGTGAGGGGGAGGGCCCCTGGTAAGATCCCAGGAAATGAAATATGAGATTGTTAGATTATTGAAGAATTATTGAAGATAATGTATTAAACGCTTGAAGTTTCTGTGATAAACAGCTTCCGAGGAGACAGGCGGAATGTTTGTTTAAATTGTTACAATTTTTTTTTAACCCGTGTACCCTTTTTTTCCAGGATTGACATTCTCTTTGTATTAATTCAAATTTTTATATTGGATATTTACGATTTTTTAATCCTCACTCCATGATCCATGTGTTATCAGGATTATCGATCGCATATCTAAATCTCAACGGTGGGGAAATTCGAACGTACATAGGATTTAGGTACACACCTCAGTTACGTTTTTTCTCTTTCACGTGTACCATATCCACTCCAGCCATACATATATCTCGCAATATTCAAAATACTCGGGAAGGATGTACTTGTGAATTTCCCAATGGTGTTTTTACTCATATCAGTGTGATATATTTTTTATAAATAAATGCAGACGTATGAGTAAACGGCAATACGCTCAGCAGTAATTTGAATTTTTGATACTTGGATGTCAATTGTAATTGAATTAAACGTCGCAACGCAATTACTGCAAATTTTCTCGGAACTTTATTCCTCATCAAATTAAAGAGTAAGTAATAGAATGCAAACTGATCTACTATTCATGAATAGCTTCGGAAAATTGATTTCGAAGATATGACCGAAATTTGGTATTAAATATGAATTCGGTTTGTTTATCTATATATATAGGTGGTACTGAATTCCACATGAACTAGTGTGAAAGGCATTGCATATGATAGATTCCCAAGGTCACATATTGCTGAATTGCCCCTTCTATAAAAGTTGCACTACCGGTCGCGTTGATCTGACCACAAATGCAGATGCAGTGTGTGAAGTTGTCTATGAGATTTTCTTGGAAAATCGCTTTCAGCTTCTGCACACTAGTCTAAAGAGCAGATTTTTACGAATTTTATTTTTACATTTTACATGATAGCGTAGTTAACAAATAGTTAACCACCACAGGTAATATTTTTCATGTTCTTTGACAGAATGACGACTATCACCGTATCCGATCCACGAAGAGTCTTCCAAAAATCTGAAAGATGGAGAATACTTAAGAACATATTGATAATTGGTATTGCATTTATGATCCACTTCACAGCATTCATGGGGGCCAGTAATCTTCAGAGTTCCATTAATGCCGATGACTCCCTCGGAACATCTACCCTAGCTGCTATCTACGGAAGTCTTATTTTTAGTAATGTCTTTTTACCTGTTTTGATCATAAGGTAATTGCATTACTATTCCTCGTATATCGTTTTTACTTTTTTATTCCATCTTTATTGGAAAGATGCATTAATGTTCTACTGTCATCTGCAAATCACTGATTGCATAGAAATGCAAAAGACGCATTGATGATGTTTCTTCTTGTTGCATTTTCAGTTGGTTGGGGTGTAAATGGACAATAGCACTTTCATTTATAGCGTACATGCCCTTTATGGCGGCTCAATTCTATCCACGATTTTACACTATGATTCCGGCAGGATTAGCTGTGGGTTTGGGTGGCGGTCCTCTTTGGTGTGCCAAATGCACATATTTGACTGTTGTTAGTGAGGCTTATGCAACAATATCTGAACTAGGTGCAGATGTCATTGTCACGAGGTTCTTCGGATTATTTTTCATGTTCTATCAGATGGCACAGGTCTGGGGTAATCTCATCTCCTCTGCAGGTGATTATGTGATTATCAGGAGGTACTAGAATTCATTATTTTTGATACGACGCATAGGAAACGGGATAATCGCTATTTTCTTTTATCTCAGTTCCTATCCACTCCACAGCCCCCCAAAATTGATACTTTAAAAATAAAAAAAAATTTTTTTTAGAAAAATCAAAGTCACGTTTGGAGCGCTGTGAGGGGCATTCAATGGAGATAGATTGATTATTGAAAAATTTTAGAAAAAAATGTTTCGAAAAAATTGTCGATGTGAATATATTATTATTCAATAACTGGAGCACTTGACTTGATAAAAATTATGTTTTAGTTTTGTCTTACGGAATGGAAACGAATTCAGAGGAGAGCAACATTGTCGCTCTCAATAGCACGATAGTCTCCGAAACCTGCGGTGCAAATTTTTGCAATAGCAAAGCAATAGATAACCCGAATTTGGCGGTACCGCCCGTCGAAAAAATCCATTTATTATCAGGAATTTATCTCGGCTGTATGATTCTAGCATCTGTGATTGTCGCTTTTGGAGTCGATTCTCTGTCGAGGTAAATACATTTTTTGTTTGACTTTTGCCGGAATTTTGAAAGACTGATTAATTATATTTCTACGATTCCAGATATGACAGGGGGAGAAGAGGATCTGCAACTGGTCAATCGGGATTTAAATTGTTGGCTGTTACTTTAAAATTATTGCGCGAAAGACGTCAACTGCTAATACTACCCATTACCATGTTTATTGGTGCAGAACAAGCCTTTCTATTTGCCGATTATAATGCTGTGAGTTTTTCTGTACAAAATGCATATCTTAAAGCATATAATTATGCAATTAGCGCAAGTGCGCGCTACGCCCGCGGTAGTCGTGTTTAATCTGTTTGATCTTCGAGAAAACTTGACTAACTTTATGGGCATGTCATTGATCAATGAAAAATATGCCTTGATCGTGAAATCGCTTTGAATTTCGATACTAACGGCATTAATTAGTGTACATAATTATTTATTTTCTAGTCATTCGTATCCTGTGCCTGGGGGATTAGTAACATCGGTTACGTTATGATTTGCTACGGTGTAGCCAATGCAATAGCAGCTCTAGCCACTGGTTCAGTAGTTAAATTAACCGGAAGAATACCTGTTGTTATTTTCGCATTTATTCTGCATTTAGCTATTATCATAGCTCTTTTATTTTGGAGACCAACTCCTGAACAGGGGATTATATTCTTCCTTATGTCCGGTCTCTGGGGTGTTTGCGATGCAATCTGGCTAGTGCAAGTTAATGGTATGTGAATATTTTTTAATCTCTTCATTATGTGCATTGAATATTCCCATTTGCATGATTGATGGTTGAGAGGAAAATTGGATTTTGAAAAAAAAAACTCAATTAGTCACTCTCAACCTTACGGCTGCCGTCAAATTGCCGATCGAGTTCTCTGCAACTGATAATTTATCTATGATTGATATTGATTCTACCAGCTCGTGGTAATTTGCTGGGTTAATTATCAACTGCCAAAGGTGCGCGGTTGCACATGTTTACGGATAATTTGCGCTTTACCGGTGAAAGTCAATCGTAATATAATTGAATTGAGGGGTCACCTTATTTTTCCGCCATTTTAATTGGTAGAAAGGCCGCCCATAAAATGGCGATATACACCGGGTAACTCCTCACATCTTCTGTTATCCTGTTATAAAAATGCCATTTGAATCAAATTTTAACGAAATGCGCTTCGGATTTTTGTTCAATTTTCTTCAAGTTTTAACAGGGTGACAGAAGAATTCAAGAGGTGTTTAGACTGATTGAAATTGAAAGGAATAAAAAACTCCTTGGTCTTTGAATATAGGAGGATGTTTGTTGGATTTTATTACAGCTCTGAGCGGAATTCTGTTTCCCGGAATGGAGGAAGCTGCCTATTCAAATTTTCGATTGTGGGAAGCAACAGGTTCTGTCGTAGCCTACGCCTACAGCCCCTACCTCTGTACAAGTACAAAACTCTATATTCTCTTGATAATTTTTGCTGCAGGTATAATTGGATATGCAATAATCGAAATGACAGGTGCAATAAAAAAAGTCACCCTAATTGATCCGAAAACCGATTTCGAACTCGTAGGGAATAGTGATCATACTATGAAGGAATAGCGTCTAATATTTTCAACCGTCAATGATTCCAGTTTTTTTTTCAGGTTGAAAATAATTGAGTAAATAATTGAGCGAAATTTCTTAATGGACTGTATTCATTGTTTATTCCAACAGTTTATTCATTTCTTTCAGATTGCTAGGTATTTACAACGATTGAATAGATAATTTCAATTTTTTTTTGAAAATTTTTACGAATTATTAGCCGGTGTTACTGTCACTTCTCTACGAAACGATGACAACATGAAATTATGAAAAATTATAAAAAGATGACAATCATTGAATAAAATTTGACAAATTTAGTTTGTTTTCTTTCTTTTTAATACTCGTGTTAATATCCTTATAATAATAGCTACAAGATATTAATTTTCAGTTTTCCGAAGAAAATACACATGTTTCTTCATTCTACATTTTTTTTTGTTGCCTTGCAATTTTTCCACTCCCTCACATTTTTTTCATAACAAAATTTAATAACCGGAATATCTTTGTACAAACTTTTTTTTCTCTCAATTTTCGCCGCTTCTTTATGAAAAAGATAAGATACTCCATTTTTATTTTTTTCAGCCGAGACTATAATTTTGAATTTCGGAATTCATCAACTCTCCATCCATTTGTGTTTCCACCATTTTATAATACAACTACGGTAATCAAAACTCATCTCTCTTTCATTTTGCTTTCTAAATATGAATCTTAAATACCTGCACATGCGTTCTTAATTCCTCATATTAATCATATTTTATGGTACTTTAATATTTCCATGTCTTGTGTTGTTCTCCTAGCTATTTGATAGCTATAATATAGACTTTATATTTATATTTCATATTTATATATTTATATATTAAAGGTACTTTAATATTACAATGCCTACTATTTTAATTATTCCATAATGTATGTACAAAAATCTCCATATTCTCAATAATAAAGAAAATGTTTATGATTAAAATTAAAGTGGGATCTATTTTGTTCGGCATCATTACATTAATTAACACGTAGCACAATTGTAGGAGTACCATATTTGTTTTTATCAGACTGTGTTCTATATCATGTAGATATCATCTTGTCCTTCTTTCATACTGAGTAAAAACAATATACTTAAATCCGCCAAAAAGAACAAAAACGCGTCAGCATAAAACATTCCAAATTCAGACTTGAATTTTCACAATTTAACCAACCAAAAAAAAAAAGAGGAAAAAGAAAAATGTGAAATGAAACAATGTGATGAAACAAATAAAATTATAATCGTATACTTTGAATTATGGCAGAGTATTGCGGACTAGCATCGCAGAAATATGAATAGTATTACTTAAAATTGTCTTTGTTTTTTTTTTTTGTTCTTAAAATGACAAACTTGTTCAGACCGTGCATTAAAGGAAATAATTACTATAATAAGTAGTTATTACTTTCACAGAAGTTATTGCGCTTTATCTTAACTATAGTTCTGCATTCTCCTTTAATCAATTCAGAATACTTAAATATCTTTTTTGTTATGTTGGCGTAATTCTAGAGAGTCTTTGAGCCTGGCGACACGACGGTCAATCGGACGAACAAATTAGCCGGACGTAAACATTGTTGGTTTAATTGAATAGCTGGATTATTTCATCATTGAATTAGTGTATTTTGTTCTGACAATGTTCATTATTCTGTCTGTTTTTTAATGTCAATTATGATCATTAATGTTCACTGTCGATTAACAGTTCGAGGAACAAATCGAGGAAACATCAACGATTATCATCCGCTGCCCTCCGCATTATTATTCACCTGTTTACTACGTCTATCATATGAATCACAAGTCTTTAAGACAGTAAACAATAATTATTTACACATAATACACGCCGTATACGTTACAATCACAATTCTCGTAGAATTTTATTATTACATTTTTTTTTTTCAATGGTTCTCTCGGGGTTTTCCGTCAGGCAATCTCAGAATGTAAAGAAGTGATGGAATTGTTCCGACACATAATGTCAGTTATTTTTAATGACACAGCCTCGATTTGCAGAAATATCAATGGTTATTGGTGTGGGTATGAATTTCCAAAACTGCTTCATGCTATATCCTCTCTAATTATCGAGAACGTGATGTCTATTTGAAAAATAATTCCAGTCTAGATGAGGAGTTTATGTTTGAATCTCATTTGATGATCGGAATGAATTCAGCCCACTGTTTTCGACATCATTCGGACTGTGTTCTTCAGGGCTTGTCGCTTATTGCAGAACCAGATTCTTATGACTTCTCTCTCATATCCGAGCTGCTGTGCTAACGACGTTATCTCATTACCTGAAATCAAGTCATGCAATTATTCCAGTAATTATCGCAATTACATTAGAAATTGTACTCTTCACTCATTATCATGTCAATACTCACCCGTAGGATGCGTATTCTTATCAAAATGTGAGTTCAGAAGTTCCAAAGCCTGGGGTGTAAAAGATGTGCGTCGTTTTCGTTTTTTACTCGGTTCAACGCCAATGAAGTCCGTCAGGTTATTGGCCCCGGTTTTGTACCTGTAATCAAACACACTACTCTCACTCAAATTCTGGCTCTTTCTTCTGCGATTGTTTGACTTACAGTCAATATAATTGATTCAATATAAATATTTCTATGTAACATAAAAATTCATTTGTCGTACTATTCTTTGGAGTACTTGAGGTAATCACTAATGAAGAATTTCGATATTATTCATTGATAAAAAAGCAATCCCACAATTAATCCTCATGATTTATTAGATCGGCATGACGAACAAATAAAGAAATAATAAAGCAGCGTGACTGGAAATGCAAGAGGTACGAATATGCGGCATCGCAGCTGTACATAGAGAGGAGTGGAGGGTCGAGGGAGGAAGAATGGACTTGTGAGAATGTACGGTATTGGGAATATACCAACACCACCAGCGCAATACCTTGAAGCTGAACACGAAAACCTCCAACACCTCTCTTGAACCCAAAGCCTCCCCTCTCCCCCCCTCGTCCCTGCTTTTGTAGCAATATCCACGGTTAAAAGCCATAACCAACCCTGGGATCGTGATCACCCCATAATGATTCTCGTCTTTTTATTTCTCCAACTCTCCCAGTGTCTTCACTCGTTTTTTTTTCCTCTCTTCTAGCTAATTTCTTTCTTACGCTAATTAACATTCCGCGGATTCATTTGGCGCGAATACGCAATTAATCAGGTAAATTCAATTAGTGAATTACCAATTAGCACGCACGTGGTCGTACGCAGAAAATGTTATAGGGTTATTTGCGGATGTGTTTGGTAGGTGGAAATGAGAGGGAGAGAGGCTGGGAGATCCTGTTGCATGACTGCGTGGACTAATCGTTTGACCTCAAAATTAGCGGTAAAGTACGGGATTATGGATTATGTCGAACGGTAATTAATATCGATTATTTGTTTATTTTTATCAGCACTAGTTTTACGGAATTTCAAAATTGAGATAATTTTGATAAAGATAAGCGCATGGATGGTTCATATCTCGTTTATTTTAACGGAGAGAAAAATACAGGAAGAAGTACGTAAATAGGCACGTAATGGTGACGAACGTAATCGTTCTAATTCCAACGGCATTGAATTTCTAAGACGATTCACTAGATAAATGGGTGACTAAAGTACTGACACTTATTTCAAACCCCTTCGTAATGAAATTATCACTTTATTTTGCAAATCGTTGGCCGTTCTCCATTCCCCCACTACGTTATACAAATTTGGGCTACAGGTATTCAAAAATGCTTTCATCACTATCTGATATTTTCTATTAATTATTTATTGTTACATTCTATTGGGGTACAATAATTTTTGCTCCACGTGGTTTAATATTACCGATAGCGCTCGAATATGGTTAGAGTTCTCTAGGTGCAGTGAAAACTAGCACCGTAATGGCAGTAATTATATCCCCGGAGATGGAAAATTAACGCTGTTGCTGAAATTTAAAGCACTTATGGGTATTTTATACCCCGGCATAATGAAATTATCTCACAACTTGGAATATCATAGCAAATTGACCATAATTAGAATTTATACAATGGAAATAATATTGTTGTGATATCCATTTGTACCGAAAGTGACATGAAATTCAAGTTTTTTCGACAGTGCTACCACGTACTTTTTCCAGTATTTTTCTCCTCGTGTGATAATTGAAAAGAATGATTTATCTGACTCACCTCTCTTCAGCCTCTTTCATCCACCTCGCAAGAACTGGCTTGATTTTCTGTGCACTCTTTGGGGTGATATCCAGCTTTTCAAACCTGAACCAAAAGCCAATATTACATTTCATCGTTCATTTAACAAAAGACCCATCAACGTTCATTCGATTATCCAACTTAAACATAATTAATGAGAAAATCTGAAACGTTGAATTGGGACAGCATTGATTTTCCATCGTGTGCCAAGAATGAATTCAAGGCCATCGACTAACAAAGGAGCACTAACGAGCATGCATTTTTCAGTATGGGTGTAAAACGAGAAGTATAACAGGACATTGACAATGCGTGCATGCGTGTAGGTTTTTTTTTTCATTTTTCTTCTTGGTGATGCCGTGTATGATGTTGCCAACAATATAAAACTTCACTTTAAATAAAAATATTACCGGTGAACACCGAGTTCGAGACAAAATATCTGTGAGAAATGATCTTTCAATTATTCATTGAATTATTCAATAGATTTGACAATTGTGTCGGACCACGAGTTGGCGACACCATGCCCAAGCTTGCCAATGCCCTGGCTCGATGATAAATATATAATATATATGAATAACAAGATAGTAGAGAGAATAGTGATAGATAATATAGAATTAATGTAATACCAAAAATAGAATGGCTGTTTTTAATGAAAACCCAGGACTTGTTAATTTTATTATCGAAAAAGTGCTCCTTCTTCGAGTATCAAATATTTTTAACCTCGAAGTTTTGTTCAGAAATAAAGAAGGAAACTGTACTGCAGCTATACCCAAATCATTTCCCTCACTTAATGCAAGATTAGTTGAAAGTCTAAAAATTATGTATCATGTATAATTTGTACTGGGAATGTTAATGATCTGGATATAACTGCAGAATTCGACTGAATAAAATCGATTTAACAAAAACCTCGATTTTTTATCCCTTTAAAAACTGGTAGGTAAATTAAGTAGCATGAGGGGTGAACGTACATAGCTTGCTGCTGAGAGGCAATCTGCGAGGCGTACATCTGGGTAGCCAGGGCACTGGGGAACAATCACCAATGCTTAAGTTAGTCGAATTATCAACGAATAATAATACTAATTGCTTGTCGCTATTGCGATAACCAATGTTGCCAGAGTAGGAATTGATTTTTTACCAGAATTCTCAATGAATAATGAAGAAAAAAAAAATGTTCATCAAATATTGCGCAAATACTCAATAAAATTTGCGCTATTGCAACTCCTCTATGCAATTTAATTTAATCAAACCCTGCTTTGGCGTACAATGGCGTTAATATATTAATCCTGAACTTTGATTCCTATTCCCGATGTTCATTTGGTTTTTTTTTTTTCAGTTAACTTTTCAGTTGATTATTCGCTTCATTAGTATCTTCGTCATGACTAATTTCAATTTCCATGCCATTTCCAGTGACCTGGCACACTAAACTCTGATATTTATACGAGAATTCTACTTTTATCACAAGATATCATAATTATAGTTGTTTGAATTATGGAAAAATAGGTGATCATTGCTGTGGTTTTACCTGCATATAGCACTTTGACTGTAAGCCGGTCCCTCGGTGATGCTGAGTGATTGGCCGACTTGGGTTTGCGTCAGGCCGAGGGATAATCGTCGGATTTTGAAGGCTTTTGCGAATTCTTTAATCTCGTCGAGGTTGATACCATCTACAACATTATTCGTAGCTTCGTTGATTGTCGGTTGATCTACGAAGTGAAAAAAAAAAGTTTCATTCAGGACTAATCGATTAACCGGTAATCGTTAATTCGAGCGCATGTTTTTCATAAAACATGAAAAAAATTGAGGGATCTGGCGATTTATTAATAGCATTAACCGATGCTCACGTTTGTTCAATCATTCAATTTCCATTACAATATCCATCGGCATTGTTATAAAATCAGAAAACTTGCATTGCTCACGATTTCCCTCGTAAATCTGTCAATTTAGTATGTGTTCCGTACAGAGGTATCACGCAATCGTTACTCCACCGCGAGTCCAATTGCAATAAACAACACCTCGAGTTACGGTAATGTCCTTACGTACCGCGAATGGATGTTGCGATGAAGGCAAATTCAATTATTCTTGGGAGGAAATCTTTTCGAAATACATCACCGCAAATGATTCACAGGTAAATAATAGTTGTGAACTACATTTAAAACGTTCTCTAAGATTGATTGAATTACTTGGAGAATCGCTGAGTAGATCGTCATCGTCATCCTTCGGACTGTGCATACTACTTGGTGAGGCCTTGACTCCCGTACTTCCTGGTCCGTGTGTCGTAGTAATCGTAATCTCTCCATTACTAGCAGCCAGTCTATTGAGAGCAGAGGCCGCCGAAACAGCAGGACCATTGAGAGGTGACGAAGCTTCCGGCCGTTCTCTGTGATGTTTCTCTGAAGACTGAAGAGAGGATAATTGATACGGGGTATGGTAAAAATTTCGGAAAATGTGGTTAAATTTTGGAAAGATGAAGATGAGAATTGCAGGGGAATGACAGGAAATGTGAGATTTGATGGTGGTAATTCGCGACGGTGCATCGACATATTGTGACATTTTGATCGTACCTGGTAGTGGTTAAGGTGGGAGGTATGCCGATGATGGCTATGTTGTTGCTGTTGCGGTGAGGTGGTGAGAAGTGGTTGTTGCGATGCCTGAGCTGCTTGGACCGCTTGGGCAGCTTGAGCCTGGGCTGCCTGTGCGGCTTGAAGAAGCTGTTGTGGTTGCATGGCATTCAGTAGCTGCTGACTTGCAGAACTGTTACTCAATAGGTGTGGGAGAGCCGCGGGATTCAAAGCCAATCCCGTTGCCAAATTCTGACTCGTTGGCACTGAAAAGCCCATGGGAAAATTCATCATATGCTCATCACTTCTTACACCAGTAATAATCGTTAAAATAATTCACCATTGGTCGATGTATTCATCATAGTTTGAGGTTGCGCAATTGACTGTAGATTAGCTAATGTCGTTGATACAACTTGTCCATTACTCAGCGCCAAATTGACCATTTGATTATTCGTCACGTGACTAACTGGAATGGTGAGTATCGTTTGCGTTGCAATACCTAAACAACATAAAGTAAAACGACATTAATCACAACCCAAACCAACAAATTAATACGATGACACGGGCCTCAGAGGATTTCTATTAAATGTTATATCGTACTACTTCAGCGTACGAAATCCGAGTAAGGGTTTTGAAGCTGTTGGAGTCTCATAGAGGGATTATTAAGCAACCCATAGGGCAGGTTACTCGTGCAGAGGCCAGTGTAGTTGGCAAACTATTATCGTCATCTTGGGTGTATATGAGGAAGTGCCGAGTGAGAAGGTGAACAAGGAGGACGAGGGGGTGGCAACACTAGCCCTACCAAGTACTGATGGAGGGAGAAGGGGAAGTAGATGGCCCAGCCGTTACAGAGAGAAGGACTGAGCTGCCTAATCATACTTAGAATAGTTTCGGGATTACCTCCAGTTTCACTAATCTGATTACCCCCCTACATGCCGCTTAATATGATTACTGATCTTGAGTATCCCTGTGTATCTATCTATAATAGCACGAGCAAATCCCCATCCAAATTGTCAGAATCGAGGAAAGACTGACGGATCTGTGGACACTCATTCGTCTGTCCGGATTATCTCATTCACCCTGCATTAACCCCATTGGTGAGTCATTAAAATGATTCATCGGCTGAATGTGTACTAATGAATTTTAATGATTTCATGCTGTAATCGTTTTAAATTTTTTGGCTCATGCCGTGTCGAAAGGCTGGGCATAGCAATTGGAAGGATTGGTCAAGGACGTTGAGAGAGGAATGAGGAGGGAAAGGGGATTCCTACAAGGTAGAACATAGAATGGGAGGGAAGGTATCGCTGAGGGTTTTGGGGGAGAGGTAAGAGTGTAGTAGTGAGACGTTAATTATACATTGAAATTAGTTGCAGAGTTTGCCCTCCGTTTTGCCTTAGCAGGTCGGGGAGGCGGAGAAGCTCCTAAGTATGGAGGATGGAAACTCCGGTCCAAGCTGGCCGGTGATAGTGGTATTATATCGAATGCGAACTCAATTGTATAATGTTGCGTAATAATCGATTGTAAGAGCTATTATTAGGGAGCACCAGAATACGAGATTATAATTTTTTTTTTTTTCATCTGTGCAGATTGGTTTATTTGACTTGGCTTGATTATGAATTACTCAGTTGGTGTATTTATTGGGCACTCTGGGTTATTGTTACGATTGTTTTTCCAGCTATTATTGGAGATTATTGTGGAACAACTCACCTTGAGACGTTGGGATTAATAATTGAGCACCTTGAATTCCTTGGACCAATTGACCCGATGTGAGGATGAACTGGGGCATCGCTACAGGCTGAGGTTGCGAAAGTAGCTGTGGTAGTGTTGCCATTGGAGCTGAACTTGGGGGTAAGAGATGAGAGCCGGCTGTTGTACTAGAGGGAGTTGATACTGTACCAGCTGGGGAATAATGAGTAATTGAATTCTCCTGAAATGTTCAGTGATTTCTCCTTCGGTTGAAATAGAAGTTTAGGAAGGACTTTTACCTGCACTGACTGTTAGATTCAGGGGTGTGTTAATCAGCTGATTGCTGGTTAAACCTGCTGACATGCCTTGAAGACCTGCTGCCAGTGATGCGACTTGTGGGAGATTTTGAAGATTCGCTAGATTTTGAAGATTTTGCAGCGTCACCATTCCTGCCACTGAGTTTCAAAACATTTTAAAATCACTAAAGCTGAGAGACTCGTTAGATTTACTTACTGGTCCCATTGAGATGTGCCTCAGCACTGTGTTTCCCATGTGACATATTGTCCGGTGATGCACTCCTCCGTCTTCTCGAATTCTTCATGTTCTCTATCAACATCTGATGCTCATGGAACACTCCTGACGCTGGCTCTGGACTGCCAGCACTACTTCGGTCACTCTCCTGAAATAACGATGAAAATTAATAGGATTAAATATTCAACCAATAGATTCAGGACGATCAAGCATTAATTTCATAATAATTAATGGATTCTCCGATACCGCGAAACGGAGGAAGAGAGATATAAATTTTCTTAAGATTCCGCTCTCCCACTGTCTGTTGCAATCCACAAGATTGTTCTAATTGTTCTAATTATAATAAATCGATGATGGAAAGTGGCAACTCACGAGGTTGTTTCAGGTGATAATTATATGAAGGGTAGTGAGGGTGATAAATTTACAAGGTGTTCACATAAATTCATGGAAATTCTCCCGAAATAACTCAATTTCAGTCTTTCCCCGTTCAAAGAGGTTTCAACAATATCCGAGGTACGCAACAAAATTTTCCGATGGGAAATGTGATTACGCGAAATTCGATGGAACGGTTTTTTTTATTTATTTATTTTTTCAAACAACAGATAGAATACCTGTATCATCACGGGAGATGGAGGAGGCGAGTGGTTACGTTCTTATCGAGGTGCACGGCAGTGGCTAAACGTCCGGGCTTTGTTAACAGTGACGCTCGATCGGATGAAAAAAACGATAAAACCCGGTCAATGGCTAACAAACGAAAATCGCCTCCACAGAATGCAACCGGTTCAATTTTTTCCGCGTAAATTCGTAAACGATGTCCGGCGATATAGCGTACTGCATATTAAATGCCCGGACCAAGGGGATTAGCTTACAAACGTACGGGAGTTTTTTTTATGGTTTTTTTTCCTCGGTTTGTCTTTCAGAGATCGAACAATTGGAGAATGCAGCGAGTACAATAACATTTCGGTGAATATTTCTCTTGTAAATGCCAACTGTCGTTTATAATTCCTGAGTTATCAAGTAGATATTTTATTTATTAAGTTCCAATTGTTTCTCCTTCTTTCTACAATAATTTCTCAACCGTACATGAATTTGGCTAATGGTTGGAATCACATTCAAATTTCGCGCGCTGTGTGCGCTACCGGTCTCGTTCAATTAAAACCATCTTGATTCCATTGGGTGATTTCAATGCGTGTGTTCCAGGTGTGTCATCATTCCAGTTTAGACTGACGAGCCTCGAGTGTGAAATTAAACAAAATATTGAATTCTGATTAAATAAAATTCTCGAATGCCCCGAAAAATAATGGCTCCCTTCCACATTGAGACCCAGAATTCCCGCAAGTCTGTAACCATAAATGCAATCGTCGATCGTTCCCGTTCGAATAAAAAATGACTGCCAGTCGCATATACCACGGGTCATCTCACTAATGTGAAAAACGAAATCCAATGCCGATTGGTGGTGAAAAAAAAATGCCCGACTCTTTCCCCATCCACCGGGAAATGACCGAGAATCCATCGGAGAGGGAGGAATATGTGGGAGGAAAGTGGGATAACGCAGCGACAAAAGGGGTTGAAAAAAAAGGGGTGGCTGGGAGAGAGGCCGATGCCGTTGGAAATGTAACAATAAACATTACTTATCGGCCCAGGGCCTTTAACAATGCTCGACGTGGCCTGAGGGGTGGGAGGGTGCTACCCCCCATAAAAACTCGTAGCTACTTCATTGTTGTTGTTTTTTTCCATCCACCCGATTTTTACCCCCCGTCTCACCCCCTCTTTCCATATTTTTTTTGCAATAAAGTAATTTAACCGTTTGAGTTATGGGTAATTCTCATGGCGCAGTCGCGCCTCGTACCTCCGACCCATTGATTAGTATTAATGACTTAGCTGCACTCATTTTACCCGAATAAAAGTAATTGGATTTGGTTTTCCAAACTCTATCTCACTCTGTTCAACGCATTGACTCTGGCACTTTTTTATCCCGCCCTCCTCCACCCCATCGACTCCCTCACTGTAAAAATTTCTCGTTCCCATGGAAAAATACATTAATATCTGTTTGGCCCCTAATAAACGATACTCGTGCGTATCTCAGACTAATGGCTGTATTCCTAAATCTGATAATTTGTGATTTTTAGTGCTGTTTTTTTTTTCCCCATTGGTTAACGTGGGAGTACATTGAACTCCTCTCCCACTGGATTTTACACCGGATGAATGGAGCAAATGAGGTAATTTTCGGCATCAATGAAAAGCCGATAAAATATAAAATCAGAACAGCAAATATTTAAATTGAAATTGGCAATTTAAGTGGCGAACAAATTGTCTAATAATTCTCATTGAAGCAGAAGGTGAAGCCTCAGGAGATGATACGAATGTCGGAAGGTGGTGGTAAATGGGTGAGACTGGAGTCAAGAGATCGGTGGGGTGTGAGGAGGGGAAGGCGGGGGTTGCAATTATCACGTGGTCATTGCAAACCGGTGTTATCGGTAGTGGAGAGAGCCGGGGAGACCCTAATGCCGAGGCCGCTTTGTCTGTAAGTGTAATTAGTCGAGGAAAGAGGGCAGCGATGGCTGAGAGGGCAGAAGGGAGGAAAGGGTGAAACGGGTGGCAACGCGGGGGGAGGATCAACGGGGGAGAACACGTCCAGAGGAGGGGGTCAAGAGGGATAACCAAGGTAGCTCATCCTGATCCCACCCATCCTCTGGTATAGTACCATTGCTCTCTTGCCACCCCATTTCTCCACCTTTCTCATCCCACACCCTCTCTATCACCCCAGTGCCCACCTTATTTATATGTAAATGAGCTTCATTTCGCGATATTAATGTTCCACCCTAGAGTAGAGCAACTTTGAAAGGGTGTACTGGACTGCACGTGGGAGGAAAGGCTCTCGGTCATGTGTTTACAACCACTTCTAGTTGGAGTTCATTTATCTGCGGATAAAGTGTGGGAGAAAATGATCCAGTGAATTTCAAGGATGTCGTTGAGTGTCATTCAACTTCTGGAAATAATTGCAATGACTGAGTCAATGGTTATTTGAAGGAAAATTCTCATTGTTCTTTAATGAAATTGAAAAGTATTATGACTCTTTGATCAATGTTCCCTAGTGTATGATTTACTTTTGGATAATTAATGATATTGAGGTACTAATGCACGAATGAGACTATTGTTTTCGGTAAATGAACATAGTGTGCATTTTGGTTGAGGGAAAATCACCGCATTTGATTTCAATCGCACGGTAAACATTATAATTAGATTGGAAATCATTGATCGTCATTCACAGTTATTGCTATCAACACGGAGAGAAGTATTAAAAAAAAATTACGTGTCTCTCCCGTAATTCCCCCGCAAAATACAGCTGGAGGAAATTTTACGGAACTGTCACGGAATTTTTCAGCAGTGTTCCGCAATTTTTACTAAATATTTTCCTCCGTGCATGATTTATAAAAAATTGTTCTCCAATATTGATCAGATAAAATCTGTAACAATATTTTTATATATCTACATTCCATTATCTATTGTTTTGTAATTAAAAAAATATATAATTGACACATAAAAAAATATGTTTATAGTAGTGAATATGATTATTTATTCTTTTGTAAATGAAGAATAATATTAATTCTGTTCACCCGCTGGAGAAGCCCATCAAACAGGCGACCCTCTCGCGTGCGCACCAACTGACAACCCCCTCAAGCAACTAATTAACGGACAATGCCCGTTTAAGAAAACACGATCGAATATTCGTAATGGGGTACAAGTACTAAACCATACATATGTATAACAAAACCTTCAGTCCAGGGTTAGGATAGTCTTTGACTACCAAAGCCAAGTATACACTACAGATAATGACCGATTTATCGCAAACGACTAGAGCGTGGCAGCGGGTAGACAGACCCCCATCAAGACCCCTCTTCCTCTGGAACTTGGTAAATTAACAACAGACAAGCCACTTGAAACATTACCGAGCTTTTCTAGCCAGCCGAGATGGTCTCACCAAAGAGAAGAGAAAAACGAAGGGCTTCAGTTTGAGTTCACTCGTTACTGTACTCAACATAAATTAGACCCGATAGAAAGGGTAGATTGCTGAATGCTAAACTATATAAACTGGGGACTTGTGTATGAGGCGATATTTATGTGCATTGGTTTTACTCTCTCACTCTATCATGGTTTAATGCAACGCCTCGTGAATCATCCTCTTACCGATACTTAGAGGGATACCGAATAGTGTGATGTGAAGCTCTTAAGTAGCATTACGTTTAATTGTATATGGGAAAATTGATGTGTTTGAGGAGGTAATTAATTGCTTACATAAGCTTACGAATTTCTAAACTATTTTTTCGGTAGTTCCCTTTTTTTTATATTTTTATTTACTTCCTCTAAATTTTGTACATCATTCCCGGCATTCCAAAAATAGATTCGCAGAAATAAAAAAATATAGAGTGCACACAGAGTACTTGTTTACAACCAAATACGCTTGTTTTTATAAAATAATAAATAATTGAGATTCCCAAATATGTTTCTAAATTGACTGCACCCCCAGGCATATTCCAACGAATCCTAATTTTAAATTGGCATTCTCGCGAACGAGTGAATTTTCAATTGGCCTCCAAAATTTCAATTAGTTCTTTTAAACAAATTTATTCAATTCAATATTTAGCACTGACAGTCCCACAAGTGTTTATGTCTATTCATGAATTTCATTTGATACTTGGAAAACCATTTTTTTCTCACTGGATATCGAGTTGACTTTGGAAATTCTAGATTCCTTACACTATAATTCCGTACATGCAGAGTTAAATCCATAATGCTCCCTCCCCCCTGTTTAGGATGAGACTTCTTGAAAGGGTGAAAGGGGTGGATCGAAGGGTGAGGGGAGGGCGAGAGAAGGGGGGCGGCAGGGGGGGGGGTGAAACAAGGAATGAGACAGAGGAGATAAAAGTGGTTTGAGGATTGAGGCAAATGGTGTGGGTTGGAGCTGGAGTCCACGGCCAATGTATGAATATACATGACCTTACCGCCCAACCCTTACACCACAACGGAGCTCTGCTTACATTATTGTATATCTAATTCGAGGGATGGTTCTCAAATTTACGTTTCACCGAAATACATTTGGATTTTGGGATTTGATATGCCAACTCTTGGTTATCGAAACTATTTGAC